GGAATGAGTTTAACACATTTAAAAAGAATAAATGAGTATTTGAAGAAGCACCTTTTCCTGTCAAAAGGAAGTATAAACATTATATTTCAAGCTATTACTCTGATTATTACACTATTATGTACTTAAGGGTCATAAAATCAGATTTCCAGTATCTTAACACATTGTGGACCATTGACAGAATCAGTGGGGCTGCAGAGAGGCAATAGATAGTGTCATTTAGCTTATAGCATGGTTCCCATCATTCCAGTAGAAAGATGGCAAAGGTTATGGATGAGGGGAGGGGAATCAGCCTCAAGAGGCTCAGCTGGCAGCTGGGGCACCAGGGCATGCCTCCACCTCGAGTGAACATAAGAGGCTCTAGCACGGATGGCATGAAACTCATGTCTAACATTTCACAATATATATTTATGGAGGTGAGCTCAGAAATGCGAATTGTCTGGCATAACCATTTGTACAAAGAGTTGTTGATGTGCAGGTGAAGCTTGTGGCTCTGATTTTGGAGTCAGATTGAGGGGCTAGAAGAGTTTACTGGCCTGGCTGTTGGCACAAAGCTATGGAAGGTGCGCTAAGGTAGCAGTGGAAAGCTGAAAAGGAGTCTTCAGTTTCCAATGCAAGTCAACAGCAAGGAAACTCCAAGTGATTATGTATTCACTCTGATATTTAAATAATGTAAGTTCAGATTTCCAGAAGCGCCTCCTGACTTACTGAGCTGCAGTCTAGCTTCTGTAAGTGACAAGTTGTTCTTGTGGGAGAAAACAAAGTTCATGGAAAAGATGTTGTTATAAAATGCTTCCTTGTAGTTCAGCTTGCGGTATGAGTAGAGATTAAGGTCACAAACATTAAGTTGGTACTACCTTTTGAAGAAAATTTATTGCAGAAGCTTTATGTTGACTTTAGACCAAGAAAAACCTCACAACTTTTTAGAAGAAAAAAAAATTCAAGTGGTAAATCAGTCACTAAACAGCCTCCTCTGTACTGAATAGTGAATACTTGTCATCATGCATGAGTGGTGTCTTTCACATGATCTCCTTGTAATCATCACTAATAATGAGAGGGATGGTTCATGTCCCCACTCCCCAGCACAGCTGGTTTACTTCTTTTTCTCAGAAGGCTAAAAATTGAGTATTTGGTTGCTGCAAGTGAGAAGTGTACTGAAAACTGCTTGTAAAGATTTTAATGGGCTTATCTATTGCTCTTATGGTGCTACTTGATTAAGGCAAACACATTGCTGCATTAAAAAAATGACTGGGGCTTTATAATACTTGTGCAAGTTTTAATGTTATTAAATGAAAACTGTCTGCCTAGCTTTCACGCTTTCTAATAAGGCAGAATTTTAAAATCACAGTATTCCCCTCTGCCAAAAGCACATCAAAATGTAACTCAACTCCATGGCAATATTATATAGCATAAATAATGTCCTTAGCGTTTAAGGCTATTTAGCAATAAAGACATAGCAGTCTTTACGGCATGGAAAGAGGGAGAAATGGCGTCAACCGTTCCTGCTGCTTTAAAATGCATACAACCAATATCCTTTAAGTGTGAACTTTCATTTCACAGAGAGAACTTGCATACTTTCTATTAGAGGTAATAAGGGAACTGTTTCATTTTAACAATTCAATGCTAGCACTGTCATAGTCTTTCATTATTCTGGACTCATGGACTGCTTTTGCAGAATATGGCTTTAAAATACAGGTCAACATTAAAGGATTTTGAAATAAGGCAAAAATGCTCTTATATCTGGTTTGAGTGGGTCCTTTATTTTAGTATGTATAAGAGAACTATGCTCTTCTATCCTTTCTCCCCTGGAGGAATCAGCAGGGACATTGTGACTTATTTGAAAGTTAAGAGGCTGAAAAGCTTTAGAGGAGGCATTGTAATCTGCTATAAAATGTGTGCAGGGCAGAGGCGTAGATTTGGAGTTGTTGGTAGCTCTCCAACACAGGAGAGAAGCATGAGATTATTAGATTACTCACAAAGTGTTAATCCTGCAGCAATGAGGAAATTTTTTTAAAAAATCCCAATCCTTGTGTTTACACCAGATTAGTTAGTACAAAGAGGCAAGCATCTCTTCTTTCATTGTTGCTTTGAGATGTATAATCTGTCATTTTGACTCTTCCAAAGTTCACATACGGAAAATGTTATCATTACAAATACAAAGCCTGTCTCTAAAATTGTGCGAGTTGCAAAGCAACGTCTCGCCTCATTAAAAAAATCAGTGCTGTTAGGTTTCTGTTTTTACAGAAACGGTATTGATCAGAACCAGAAAACCATGGTAATATGGGGAAAAAGATGGGGAAGCAGGCTTGCAGTGGGTCCCATCTCTCATTTTTCCCAAGTTGCCAGGTCAGCATTCATAACTGACTATCTTAACTCACACAGTTTGTCCAATGAGATAGGTGGCTTTCTGCTTTTGGTACCTTGTCACTCAGTCTGAATATTAAGAACTGGGTCTACTTGGCTTTCAAGATGACAAGTTTAGCATTTTGAGCTAGTGGTGCTGAGGTTGCTTGGTAAACGTGCTAAGGTAGTTGGTAAGGATCTTGAAAGCCCTAAAGCAATGTATTTGAGGACTCACAGTACTGTGAGTCCACCAGCGGTGACAGTGCTATCTTGCGGACAGTGTGGAGAATAATGTGTTCACTGGGCAGAAGAGCATCCTTCCTAGCCAATACCTCCTGCTAAGCTGCTTGTAACCCAGTCATGCAGACTTAGTTTTATCCATCATAATGATTGTGACTCCATGCTATTGACTGAAATCTTACACTCGCAGCACCTGTAGAAAGTCAGTGGACAAAAGCGAATCAAATTCAGCAAGCAGAAGACATAGTGTTTGTTCCTTTCTGAAGCAGTTTCCGTGAGAGCAAATGGTTCCAGCCCACGAAATAAGGCAGGTTCTAAAAATGCCAAAGAATTGCAGGTTTGGGAGAAAAGTTTGCCTCTGTTCACAGATTCATCACTGTGTCAGCAGCCAAGCCCTGGTCAGCGGGTCAGGACTTGGACAGGCATCAGGACAGATTTCTTGGTGGCAGCATTACAGGAACTCAGAAATCCTGTACTTCACAGCCAGACCTAGGTATGCTTCCCATTGCTCATGCTCTATCACCAGCCACTTGTGCTTGATCAGATGTCAGTCATCTGTGCACCATGTGTAAGGACATTTTCAAAAAAAAAAAAGGATTTTTGTCCTTGTCACATATTAGTGATATTTGTAGAGTGGTGAATATTGGAACTAATCAGCCTCCAGGGAACCATAGTTAGGCTTGGGATATTACTGTGCAAACAGATAGTAAAGGGCTAATACTCTTAAATTATCTGTAAACATCTCTCCTGCATCTAATCACTGACACAGCATACAGAAAAAAATATGCTTCTCTTCCAGTATGTGTGTTTTCTTCAGTTTTTGTCTTCAGTAGAGCAACTAACGTAACTTTAAAGAGTTCACAGTTTGAATATGATAGGCTTCATTGATTTTTATTTTTAATTTCCCACTGCTGGTGTTTGCTACTAAACACTTTCCAGTGGTGACAGAGAAGTGGACTATATCATGATGTTCTGCTTTACGGGAAGTAGATATTCCTTTTTAGCAATATATTGAAACTCAGGATATCTGGAGCTGTACTAGAAGCACTTAGGTGAAACCCCAGGCTCACCGTATTTATTTGTTATCAAGTATCTCCCGAGGTTCAGTGCCAAGTAAGAACTACATTGCTAGTCTCTCAATAGGTGAGATTTTATTTGCTTATGAAATGGTGTATGTTAAACAAAAATTGTAGATTGTCACTTGCTTTTCACTTTATAAAGAAAAGTCTGGAGTCCCTGAAGGAAAATCTGAAGGTTACAGCAGGGCTTTCATCATCTTTTGCTTTTCACCCACAACCCCAGGTTTAAAAAATGGAATTAAATCATCTGAATGTCTTCAAGTCTGGAAGTGCTGAGAGTCCAGCACTCCTGATAGTAAGATCATTTCTTTAGGGGTTCATATATTGACACCAGGCACTAACCTCAGCCTTTTGGTTTCTAAAATCTTGGTGCAAAGGAACAAATGAGCTCAGATAGGGAAGCAAACACTCGGAATTAGTTCATGTTCACTAGCTCAGACTTATTTCTCCTTCCTGGAGGCTTTGGGGTAAGTCAGCTTTAATTTATAGGTGGGCCCCTAGGATCCCCCTTTCCAGTGACACCTTCGGTAGGCAATGTATGGGTTCACTGTGGGTTATCCTGCAGTAACTTGTGGTTGTGTTGCTGAGGAATATGGTGTAGGTTGTCTATCACCCACTGCTGAAGTAACAGGTGGAGCAAGAGCCCTCTGCCATGCGGAAAAGAATACAGAGCTTGACAGTATCTCATGGCTTTATAAAAGTTTATGTGCTCTGGGGACAATTCTGTAAGGGTGAATTATTGACATCAGTGATGCTTACTGTTGAAAGTAGGAAAGCAAACTGCAGTTGTGAGTCTTTCCCCCCCCAAAAAGGTTGTCTGCCGACTGTTCTTTGCTCATTCTACTTTGAAGTCCTCTGATTAGGCTTTGTCTACTCTATTGGTTTTCCCAAATAAATCAGTGATCTATTTTTATGAAAGTGTTATTTTATGTGGTGCATTAATGGGCTAATCTTCTTACATTATCTGTAAATCTGTGTAAATAAAGGCTATTTTTAAAACCTTCCTGTGCTGTTCCAAGGCTTGTTTGTATTTTTCAAAAGGCTGTAGTGTTGGCGTTATAATGTAAAAGGGCAGAGCACCTCTTCTGGTAGTAGCAAAACCAAATAAAACCTTGAGTAATGTGAAGCAGATATTTGCTTGTGAGTTACTTTTTTTTTTCCCCGCTCAGTGTACCTGACACTTGCAAAGTACAAGCAGTAAAGTAGTATTCAGAAATGAATATGTTTATGCTCTGAGGCCTAAAAGATCCTTTTTTATAAAAAAGGATGGTAAACTGTTTACGTTTGTTTATTGTAGAATCATTCCAAATCTGTAGTTTATTTTTCTGTTTTAGGCTCCTAAGGACCCAGTCTCTGGATTGGTACTATAATAATGTCAAAAGCCGGTTTAAGTGTTTTGGAAGTGCCAAAGTCCTGAAGAACTTATACAAGAAGCATAGACTGGAGAGCGGAGTTTGTCCTGATGTAACAGGTAAGAACAGCTGTGTTGATTTCTTTTTAGTTTATCTACTTTAACACACAAGCTGAGACAATGGAAATTCTGAGATTATTTCAAAAAAAGATTTTTTAAGGCTTTTTTTTTAAAAAGAAATACCTCAGTGGAGAGAAAAAAGACATGAAGTGTCTAGAGAGCTGTTTAAGAATTCAAAGAATGTTTAATCTTAATTATGCCAGTGATACAGAACAACTGTTATCTTCAGTCTGTAAAGTAAATTGCAGTTTGTATTCTAGCCCATGTTCCAAAATTTATCACAGTTCTGAGTAGTCAATGAATGAGAAAATAATTTTACATTCAACACTTGGCCTTGGAGCACATTTCCATAGTGTTTGAAGCACAATTTGGTTAACATGGGATACATTCAGTATCCAAGTTGATCAAAACTTAGATTGTCCTCACTTAAAGTTTTGCATGTGTAAGGATCTGAAACTGGCCACATCTTATTTTTGTATTGATGTTTGTAAATGGTTAAGAAATGCTGATTAAATATTGGCATCACCCTTTTAAATGAAAAGACACAATTCTCCATTAACTATGGTGTTACAATCCATCGCCCCATAAGAGTAATTGGAGATACAAAATGGGTTAGAAGTAGCATTTGGTGTCATACTGGTAACTTTAGCAAATTACTCAAAACACAGCTAGTTGAATGTTTGCAATGTCTTTGGATTTATTGGACCAGATACTTTCCTAAGGTAATTCTTTTGAAATTTATACAGAGACTGTAATTTTTCTATAGTCTTTACTTTGTCTTTTTCTGAGTTATATAGGATGGCAAGTGGACTCTCTAGTCCTGAATGAAAATTTTAGGTGTTTCTTATGAATATTGGCATAAAAGCTTCTAGGGAGAAGCAACCTATGCATTAAATTCTGATTTATTAGTCTTTTTGTTTTCTCTGTATCAAATTAATTTTTCTAGAGAAGATTCCCTAACAGTTGAGAACAAATATGTATAAAGACAAGAAAATCCATGTCAGTGAGGGCAGAAGTGAGACAATGGAATTAAAAATTGTGGGGATGGATCCTTCAGAACTTTACTATGATGTGTTGCATTTACTTAAGCCATAGTCTCACTGAATTTGTCCTTGAATGGAGGTGTGAACAGTGTAATGATGAGTTGCAGTGGCATGTGCACTCTCTGTGAGACCTTTCTAAGGAAGGCCTTTGAGTCTAAATGTCATTGCTAACTTTCTTCTACTCTCCGTGTGACTGTTAGGTAAACCTTTTGTTCCCTTTGAAGATAAATACTAGTATATGTGTCTGGGTTTTGCCTTATTTATACAGCATTGCCCTTTAAAATGTAGAATCTATTTCAACCCCAAATGTCACACTAAAGGCAAATTCCCAGTACTTAATTCCTACCATGTAAGTTTTATATCTAGTAGCTTCTTTTACTCTCTCTTTTACTGTATGAATAGTTTTCTCCATCCAAAATGAATGAGGTGTCTTTTGTGTAAAAGCAGTCATGTTTTGTACAAAAGCTGCTGCAGTCATGGTTTATACAAAAGGTAGGAGGAATTTTCTGGTTATCCCTCTTTGTATGTAGTGCCACGGTATCTTGAGTGAATATTCTAATCTAATAATGCCTCTGCTGTTAATGGGTACTTCTTATACTAACGCATGGTACTGTCTTTTTTGAGCAGAAGGAGGTTTTTTTGAAGGAAGCTTTGAAAATGAAGGAAGCATTTGTGGCAGTGACTCTACATTCTACCGACAGACAGAAGGTATGCTGCTAAAAACTTGTTTGATTAAAACACAGTCCTTACACTTTGAATTACAGGGCAGATAGCCTAGAGTGCTGGTAAGTCTTGTTCACAGATCCAACAATCTTTTAGCTGAAACATTTAGCAAGATACTAAAAATCCTTTCTGTACCATGCTGGGATATCTTGTTTCAGTATTACAGCTAATACAGGCTTATTCTAGTGTGATTTTCGTAAGGTTCTTTTTTTTTTTTTTACTTCTCTCCCATTTCCTTTCCTATGCTTTTATATTTTTTTAATTCTCTTTCTTATATTCTGTTGGTGTTAATAGGAAGTTTACAAATTTTCTTCCTATGATTTCCTCCTAACTATTTTGCTGGATTCTAAAATAAGAAACATAAAAATACTGTGATTTATTGTATTTAATATTTACATTTAAGAAGTAACATAGAGATTGAGACAACTTTCTCTGTCTTAAGGTGTTTATTTTACTGTGCATAATTATGGATTGAGGAAATGAACTTTGTCATGAACAACCTAAGATTTGAATATATGTCCCGAATATGAGTCTGAATTTTGGAGCTCATTATGCAAAATGTACACCTATAAAGAACATGGTGGTTTTTCTTATTCTTCACCTAGGACACAGCATGATGGATACCCTTGCTGTGGCCTTACGTGTTGCAGAGGAAGCAGTGGAAGAAGCTATTTCTAAGGCAGAGACCTACAGTGATAGCCTGGTAAAATTTAAAAAAAAAAAAGAAGTATTAATTTAAATAGAACAATTGTGTTTCTTTTAATTTGGGTAGTGGTACAAAACCAAGTAGATACCAAAGAAAACATACAGAAGTAGTGACTATCTCATGCCATACCTAAAGAGTTGGGTGTGGGTTTTATGAACTTGCATGTTGCATTTCAGAAGGTGGCATTCATTGTAAGTACCTGTAATTTCTTCCCACAGTGCCAATACGGCATATTACCCATTTTCTGACCTATACCATTTCTATGGAAAGGCTGTTTTTGTGTGATTTTAGCAACTACAGATATCCATTTTCATGCAGGACAAGCAGAACGAGGCTTGTTACTTGCAGGAGCACAAGGAGGACCTCATAGAAGAGCTAGCCACAACCATCGTGCAGAAGGTATGGGATGCGTTTTTCCCTAGCTTGTATAATAGCCAAAACACAAACCTTTAGTCTGGTGAGCTTTGACTCTGCTAACAGCAAAAAGGATGACACCAATGTAGAAAGAAGAGTAAATGACAAGTTACAACTTCAACCATCATCATATGGGCTTAATCAGCTACATCTGACAGAGAGACCAATTTATAAATAAGCTTAATGCAGTGCTTAAACTGATGGCTACAGCCTTAGAGCTTGGAGGTATCACTCCCTCAGGTCTGTGATATCCTTGTTTGGAAGAGGAGATACCTGCTCAATGGAATTGTACATCTGTACTTCACTTCCCAAAAGGCATAAAGTTTTCCAACGTAAAGTGTGGCTCTTGACCATACCAACTCTACTGAACCCTGCATCTGCAACACATACAAAGAAAACATTGATCATTAAAATAGAATTCTGTTAATGACGTTGTGAGAAAGACATCCAAAAAAATCACAGAACTCTCTGCGTGTCTAATTTAAGTGGCTTTTTCTGGAAAGCTTGTTCTTTTCCCTGCAAAGCTCACGGTTGGCACGGTCACAGAAATGGAGGGCTAGTGGGAACAAATACCCTTTGAGTTTGTCTGGACAGTCTGGAGCAAGGCAAGACGAGCATGAACAGAATGCTGGCTCCTGTGATCAGTGAAGTAGCCACTCTGCTAAGTTAGTCTCCCTTGTCACTCATGTGAACTAAGCTAATTACCACGTCTGTATATGGGATGTGACATTTAACAATGTATGGATCATACACCTGAAGAAGAATGTGTTTTTTATAAGGCTATCAAGAAAAGCCAGAAGAGCAGTAGCTCAATGGAAAATAATCTGCCTTGGTTTTTAATAGGGATGTTAGAAGATTAATTCTGCTTATTGGATCTTTCATAGTCCAGAGCCTGTCTCAGGCAAGCTTGAATTGCCACCACTTTTGTCAAAAGCTGCTTAACAAGATCTTTTATGCCATAGAATAATACTCTGTAGATACTTTAAATCGGAATCAGAAAAGTTGTGGAAATGAAGTGTAGCAGGATATAATCTGTCAGTGTAGGGAGACAGGTAGTCTATATGATCTTCTGTCTCTCTTAAGATGGTGTAGATTTTCAAAAACAAAAATAGTGCCTAGACACCTAAGACCTCTGTTTTCAGTAGAAATGTGTCTAGATGTCATGGGAGCCTTTGAAATTCCCCTTATACCCAGTATTTTATGTTTCTTCGCAAAAATTCTTGTTTGAGAAAATACTTTACACTTAGATGTTGCTGATGGTTAAAGTGTTACTGTAGGAACGGGTTTTCATGTTTATTTAATTCATCTCTGATGTTCCTACAGGCATTGATTATGATTTATTGTATCGATGCTTATGCATTTGTGAGCAGAGTGACTTCAGATGAGGAGAAATGCATGCAAGTTGTCAGAATCATCCTCGCATGAACTGGAGCAAAAGCAAAGGGAAACTCAAATGTTCTTCCTAGGCAGTTTGCCTTGAGATAGGGTTAATGTAGTTTTTCTCCATACAGCTCAGACAGTATTTTCCAAGCACCCTTTTATTCTCCTCTCCCACCCCTTGTCCCCCTGCCTTACAGATTATAAAGAAGCAGAAAAACAAAACTGAGCAGGCTGAGGCTGACTTTGAATGGCCACCATCCAGGAGCAGTGGCCTGGCATCTGTTGCTGTCTCAGATCAGAGTATGCTGACTTTTCCAGGGAGCCGCAGGGGGTCCTACACCTTATGGGTGAGTGACTTAGCACAACTACTGATGTTTTCTGCTGCACAAAACTGGAAGATTGAAACCATGGATAAGTATACTTACTGCCTGGAATGGTATGTAGAGACTTGCAGAGAGCAAGCATTAAACCTGTGTCTGGAAAATCTCCATTAGTTGCATGCTTTACTAGCACATCATGGGCCATGGAAGTACATCACAGACATTATGTTGTATTGGTGAGTGTATTGGGGAGGACTAAGTTTGTAATACAAGCAATCTTACTGCTTGATTTGAATGCTGACAGGTCTCAATGCCTGGGTGTTTATTCCTTAAAACAGTTTTTATGCTCACTTAGCTTTTATTTGGAATTTTGGTGAATGTTATATTTTCTTCTGTGCAATGTTAGATTTCTGTAATTTTTTTTTTCTCGGTAGCCATCTTAAAGAAAACAGCCACCACAAACAACAAAAAAGTAAACCCAGCTGTAGAGGACCATTTATGTCTTAACACTAAAGAGTATTTCCTCGTTCTTTCACTTGTTTCTCAGCACAATGCCTTTAGCTCCTGCTATAAAGCTGAAGAAAATCTGACAAGCTGCATTAGTAACATTTTAAGAGGTGCGGCAAGCGAAAAGAAGTGAAAATAAGCTATAGGCTTGGATAGGCTGTTTCACAATCGGAGAGTGAGGACAGTAACAGATGAATTGCAGTGCATTTTGATACAGTGGTTTAAGCTGCTGCTCCCAAGTGTCCTGCTACTGTGCCAGTAACCACCTCTCCTCCACTGGGTAGAGCCACCAAAATTGAACATGTGCTGTGCCTTAGTCCCCAGCTAAGTTTGCTAGCTTACACTGCCAGTGAAAATAGATTTATTCCAGAATATAAGACAGTGGGCCAGAATTGCTGAGATGCAGACTCACATTCTCGCCCCCCCACCTATTTCTAAATTGAAGGAGTAATGCCTTTAAGCTGCTGCTGTTAAGCAAGTGATCGCAAGTCAGGGTGAGCGTGTTTAAGCACTTTGCTCTGTAGCTCCTAGGCAACTTGCTTGTGGAACATAAGAGCCAGCAGAGGGAGAGTTAATTTTGTGTCTGACTCAACTAAGTTTTCTTTCTGGAGTTTAAGGACAGGACCTAGGGGAACATGGTGTTCAAATCTTCAGTTACTACACCAGAATCCTGTTGTTCTGCATTTGGAGAATTAAGCTTGTACTCAACAGATTTTGAAATTCTGTTCTGAACTAACAAGTTTGAGCCCCAGATTTTTGCCAGAGGGAGGCTCATTGGTTTGAGAAATAGTAGACTTTGTGGGAAAAACTGGAGTAGCAGAAATGTCACGCTAAGGTGAGAAAAGCCGCAACGAACAGCTTCAAAAGTTCTGCAGCCATCACTCAGTACTAGAGATCCAGATGTGTACAGTGCTTTATAAGGACTTTTTACGGGGTCTTTCACCACATTTGTCACCGTTTGGTCCAATTGTCTTCCCACAGTGTGTTAAGGGACACAAATGAATTTGGCCATCTGGTCTGGATTCTCTCACCCCTCCCATAAATTCAGTTTCTGCCTTTTGCTTTGCAAGGGTTGTTTTATTGAGGTTTTTTTGTCCTTTTAAGTGTGCATGTCTTTATTTTTTCTTTGCTTTGAATAGATGAGAATTTTCCTAGTATAACTAGACACCCTTGGAAAGGTAGCATAGCTCCAGTTGCTGCTGTGGCTAATGTAGTTGCAGTTATGTTAGCCTATTAGGCTAACAGAAATAAAGTCATAGAAGCTCTAACAAAGGCTGGAAAGCGTACTGAAAAGCAATTTGTGCAGAGCAAACGTGGAGCAGTTACAGACTGCTTGATTCTCATCAGCAGCGGTGGAACAACCAGAATTCCTTTTCCTGAGCTTGCTTTCCATTCAACTTTGCTTTCATTCAGCTACAAATGGTAAGCATGCATCTGTCAGCAAATTTGGAGGACTAAACTGCATGAGTTTCTCATCTGTATATCATTTGAGCAAGTTACCTTTTCTGCCAAAAGAATTATGGTATATTTTTCTTTCCAAAACAAAACCTAGCTTCTATGGAAGCTGGCAGAGAGGCCCTACGGCCATATGCCCTTTCCAGACAAACCTCCTTACTCCCTCCCAGGTGGATTTTGGAACTTTTGAGTCCAAGCTTGTAACAGCAAATCTTCATGGGCTCCACTGCAGTAAGTGAAGTTTTCGTATTTCCTAACTGATGACATTATGCTGACCAAAAAAAGCCAAACTCTTGATTTGTGTACACATCCTACCGTTGAGCTGTGTGTGTTGAGGAGAGCTTGAGCAGAGATCTGCCTGAAACAGTAAAACCCCTTTCTTACTAGTACATGCTACAGCTAACAAGGAGGCTTTTGCAACAGATTTATTAGGGCAGATGTTCCTAGTGTAACCAAGGTTTTTGTAGACAGACTCTGTCCACAACAACCCCAAGGGAAGAAAAAAAAAAAAAAAGTGTGCATAGTTTTCTATCAAAGCTACCCAAGTTGGCTGTTACTAGTTTAGAGTTATGTACATGAACCTGTTTTCCAATAAGGATTATGTAGAGCTTCCTCTGTTTAACACTTTATTTGTTACCTGGCAAACAAATTAGTATTTGAAGCAAGCAGAAGCAGGATAGATTAAATAAAAAGGAAAAAGAAACATAATTGACAGAAAGACAGACATGCAGAGGAAAGGGAGGTAAGGATAGTAAATGTTAAGGCAGTTAGGATTTCCTAATTTAAAACTGGAAATTTATCTTAGAGCAAATATTTTTATTTGTCTTTTGTGTAGAAGATAATACATGTGGTTTCACTTGCACAATAAAGCTAGTAACATTCAGTTACTTAGGGCAGTTGCATGCTGTAACACTGGCCTTTAGAAACCCATGTTTATTATTGCATTGCATTTTATTACCAAAGTCACTTGCTTACGGGGGGGTAGGGGGAGCTGTAATAACCCCAGATATAACTGTGTGGTTATACCTGCCAAGTGATTTTTCTTTTAGTCGCAGCTATTTGTGTGTAGCTCATCCCTATCAGCCAGAAACAGTGGGCTCTGGAAGCCCTGCATTACCTCCCTGCTCATGCCTCTTTGTAGTATGAAGTAAATGCTGTATGCAGAGAACCTGAGCTGTGTAAGCTGGGGACAGCACAGTGCCAAGAGACCAACTTCATGAGACCTGCTTCATTGGAGCAAAATCTATTGATCTTCGTATTAAGGAACATACACACACACACACGGTATCTCCCTGAAATATATTATTGATTCTTTAAATTCAGTACAATGGTGTGGTAGTAGCTATAGATACTGTCTTTTCCTTTTTTTCCTCTTAGATCTTTGAGATCCGTTGCCCATGCTAAAAATAGCGATACAAGGCTGAATGTTTTATTTCCCCATCTCATAAAAAGAGATGGATGGCACCATCTGTTTCTCATTACCAATGAGCAAAGGCTGTATGATGTTGGGATAGGAGGAGCTTAGAGCAATGGGCGGATGCTTCTCTGCTCTCTCAGTCCATTTCCCTCCCATACATCACTGCCAGTGAGAGCAAACAACCAGTTGGCATATTTTACCCATTTAAACATTGATGGAGTGCAGGCATCCTGGTGTGTTCTAAGTGCTGTATTAGTGGTCTTTATTTTACAGCTAAAAGATTGCATATATAAACAGAAACTCATCCATAATTTATAGCATATAAAACAGCTAGGGATATAGGGAAAAGGAGGATATCATTAAATACACATTATGATGCACCTCAAGGGAAGCAGAAATTTACTGGTTAAGCTAATTATAAGGTCCACGGTGTATTGACAGTTTTGTGGTTTTTTTTTTTTTTTTTTTTTTTTGTGGGTTTTTTTTTCCCTTTGATTTGTTCTAAAGAGGTTCCACAAGCCTGAGGTCCAACATTGCTTAGGAAATCCCTGGAGGTTTTGCAGGTGCTCTATACCTTTGTAGGTTTGTCCCAAACAAATATTTGAAGAAAACCTTTTTGAGGAGGAATCCTGTTTAGGAATCACACAACACAGTGGGAGAGCTGCTTCAGATGAGGGAAGCATAGCACTGTAGGAAGTTGATGCCAGCTGACATCAGTTCTTACCTGTCAACAACTCTGTATCAGAAACATCATATTTATATGTAATTAATAAATATGTCATGTTATAGGGAAGATGGAGCTTTTAGCTTTTGTACATGAGCTGTAATCAGAAGGGTGCACAGAGTGTGTTGCTGGGACCTACTTCCAATGTGGCAGGTGAGCATTTATCCAGAAGCCTGTCAGCTGGATCCTGATGGGTTATTTACTGTCTTGTTTCCTTCCAGAAGCAGCCAACTGCAGCACCATCTTCTCTGCACAGACTGGGAAAGAACAGTGCACTTTGAGATGGAAAAGCACTTGGTACTTTAGAAAATAATGGGTCTTTTTTAAATTCATATTTATTATGAGATGTTCCAACTTTCTCTAAGTACTGTGCAGGTTACAAATCTTGCTGTCATCTGCTGAGTTTGCAGGTGTAAAATTGTAGTCTCAGTGCAAAAGTGATCTGGAGTTACCTGGCTATATGATACTTCATGCATTTCAGATCAAGATGGCCCTGTCCATAATAATCTGATTGATTTCCCTCCTTCCACTGCAGCAGCAGGATAGGATACAACTGCTTTTGCAATTCTGACTCAGCAATTAGTACCACTTTTTAAGGTTTCAGGTGGTTAAATAATCAGCACAAGACTAAACATGACAGCATTGTCCTTTTAAAGTTGTTTGTGTAGTTTAAATCTGTTTGAGATGTATCACTAGCAGAAGATTACTGATTCTTCGTTTCATAGTACTATTCATGCACTTGACAAACATCCAAGACAGTTTTGGGTGCTAGATATATGATCAAGCCCATGCAGGGCTAAATGCAGTTGAATTACACTTACTGCCAGCAAGCCAGGATAGGATTTAAAGCATGAAAGGGAGTAGGGGAGAGGACAGAGAAGGATGGTCATTCTATAAAGTTATTTTCCGTAGAATGCAGATCAT